CCAAGCCATTGCAAGAATTTTTGCTTTTATTCTGAGTAGGTTGTGAAAACATTTCAGGGTTTTGAGTAGAAGATTTGGATGGTGTTATGCTCCTTTAAAAAAAGAATTCTTGTTATTTCACTGAAAATCAAGAGTTGGCAGGTCATGAAGTGCAATCAATTGTAATCATCAAGGCATTACATAACTGGAACTTGGGTCAGGTTTCTAACAATTGGCATAGCATGAATTTCCAGAACAATGGATATATTTTAAGTGTGGTTTGTGTTCAGTAGCTCCCAAAAGCCTCATTCAGATTTTTGTAAGGTGGTCGAATCTAGAGTATGTGATTAACTCATAGTGCAATGCTAGGATCAAAGGTGCTGGGTTTAAAGGTGGGTGATTGTTGAACCAGTTCACTGATTGAAATTGTATCACTCTAATATCTGATACTATATAAGGCATAGAAATACTCTTGTTTGCTCTCTCATTGCTTTTGCTGTCTTTCATCACCATGAACTGTTGACCGTTTACATGTGCCACCCTGCTTTGGAACCAACTAATTATGAATTAAGACCTGTACAAACTAAGTTGAATTAACCTTCCCTCCTTTAACATTGAATGTCAGGTACTGTGTCTCAGAAACAAGAAAATTGACTAATACAGAGGTTTTCTGATTCGTTATCTATATGACAAACCTCTGTGGTGGGCTGAGTGACTAGATCAGGGAAATTCCTTAGGCCTATAGGAGTTGGAAAGGCTATGTGGGTCATAGATACCCTAGTGTGGGCATGTTCCGGGCATTGTTCCTTTGGTATTGGACAGAGAAGACATCAGGACAATAATCAGTGGGCTTTAGAGTAAACTTCAAAGGGAAAAAAAATTATGCCATCTTTGTCTTGTTTATTAACCTCCACAGCTTATTTTGTTGATCTTCATGTACAAATAACTTATTTGATTATGTCTTTGTGAAGAAGTGAATTTAGTTTCTACCCTCAAGCCCATTCCTCCCCATGTATGCTGTCTGAATTTTCCTAGGCTTAGGTGCCACAGCCAGACAGCCAATTTCCAGAAGTCATCCAGTACAATTGTGATCTTATGAGAGCTCAGAAACTGTCCAGGCCTAAGTGGCAGGAGGCTGGGAGGTTACATAGGATCTTTGAGGAGCATTAGATGACACTAGAATGATGCAAGCCAAGGATTGGCTTCTCTCACATTTCCTTCCATATATACACTGATAATGAAGATTTAAAGTTTTTTCCCTGTTGGGCTCTTTCCTATGTATTAGCTCAGGTCTTCATCACAGGAGCCCAAGGACCAAATGCTTTCCTTTTCCCTTCATAATTAAGTGAGCCTGGAAGCAGAGAACCCCCATTATACATACCCTTGGTAGCTGGTGGTGGATGTGGAACTGAGTGAGAGTGAATATGGGCTGTTCCTCTCAGTTTATAGATGGCCACTGATAGCAACTTAAGAAAAGTAGGCATTTTATGAGGAAAAAAATAAGGAAGACTGAACATTGTCATGATGAATATGTTTAGAAATGATAGGACCCTTTGTGACATGCATTTTGATAGTAATAGGAAGACATTAGGGTCTTTTTCATATTATTTTTAATGTATTTAAATAAAAACATAGGATTTAAACCTTCAAATACTATCACGTATACAGAGGATGAATTTTTTAACATAGTATAATTGCCACAACTTGAAAATACTTTATGCACTAGTTGCAATATATATATATATATATATATATATAAATTTCTTGCACACAAAGCTTCAGTAATATATATTAAACCACACAATGAATGATTTTATACAGCTCCCTCGAATGCAATTCTCCATTCTTTTTTGGCCTGCAAGGAAATTATTACAATTTTCTTATTTTTCATGGTCAATGTTATGCTTGATTTCTTTAACTTTTGACACACCATCAAAGGAAAATGGAACTCAATTTATTACTGTTAACAGTTCACTTTGTTTTAATCCTCCTGCCTTTGTATGTGGTGGAATAATTTACTAGGCATTAATGGTTTTCTGTGAAAATTGGCATTAACAAATATCTAATACTAATTTTGTGTTAGCCAGCATTGACTTTTCACATCTATTTTGCATTTTTTAGGTTTGATACTAAGCTTCTTGGTATTTTGTGAGCCTTCTAAGGGTGGTAGAGCTTTGAAGTCAGCCAGATCTCTTTTTATAGGAGATTTTCAGGAACTGGAAAATATGAATTTGATTGCTGGGCCAGAAAAGTCACCCTTATGAAGTTGGGATTTAGAATAATGCAACAGCATACTGAACTACTATAAAAATGTATTTGCTTCAAGTTTTTCCTAGGTAGGCCACTTTGAACATTTTGTCCAGATACAAAATTATGAAAGTTTAATGTTTATTTTTAAAATCAACATGTTCTTTTAAAAAAGAGAATATTTAAAATAAGACATGCCTTTTTCTCCCCAGATTTTCCTCAACATAATTTAGATTTTTCTTATGATCATCTAAGTCTAATAGATCCTAAGATGTTTTAACGAGTTGCTCAGGGTCCCGAGTATGTTTGACTGGAACAGTGAAAAAATTTCATATTGGACTTTATTATTGGGGTAGAGTGAACTTTGGAGGCAAATTCTTCTAAGCCTTGATAAATATGTAAACACTGGTACATATTTACTTACAATGATCCCCACTGAAACTGACTTATATGGGCATTATTCTATAATTCTTAGCGTCAAAATTCAGACACAAGGGCTCAATTTTTTACCTATTTTATTGTAATTGCTTAAATTTCTTGAACTTAAAAAATTAAAACAGTTTAAAAGTGATGACTATTGCACGAATGATGGCAGTTTCTCTTCAGTATTCAAGAGATACAACCTGGACCTTAGTATTTCTGTCACTCTAGAAGGAATGATGCCTGGTAAGGAAGGCAACAGCAAATCTACTCAAAAAAACATTCCAAATGAACAAAAAAAAGAACAAGATTAGAGTATTATTTTTTTTCCTCAGAAGTATCATAGCATGAATCTGCTTGGCACATGTGACAGCCAGGAGTTACATTTTTCAGATACATTGTGTTGGTGGCTGGCTATATGCAATTTGAAGACCAAGCTTCCCATTTATATTTTATCACTGAAGATGGTCCCATTAGACTTGGACACACTATTCCCCATTACTCTTAAATTTAAAAAGAAAGTTATACCTCTCATAGCTTACTAAGAATTTTTGACACTTTCTTGTTTGTTAAGCATGTGTTTTTAAGGAACATGTGAAAACATTCAAACAATTAGATTCTAAATTATAATACATTTGTTCATCTAAAACATGCACACACATTTCACAGACTCCATTAGTTGTTCATAACAACTATAGAAAGACCACTTATACTGTTTTATAATTAATTTTAACTTAAATTCAATTCTTGGTGTTATTACACTCATTGGCTGTGTATATCTGCACATTTATTGTTGGGTCTGCTTGTTTGTGTTTATTGGAGTAATTAAAAGAAATTCGACTCAAACACATGTTGTTAAGCGTTTTAGACTTTTTATACTAAAACAACTAAATATTTCTGACTTTGGCTCCAAAATAGGGTTGGGAGATTAATATCATGATAGCAACAGATCATCACTTATTATTGGATAATTGTTTTTATCCTGAACTTCAAAATGTTATTTGATTTTGATATTCTGGAAAGCATAGCAATGAAATAAATATTAGCAGTGATTACTTTAGACAATTTACAAAACCTAACAGTATTTTAAAGAAGTTCATACAGTACATTTAAATTTTCAGAAGCATTGTGGTTTCTTGAGCAGGACTAATAGTATTCTTAATTTAAAGAAAGGTGAATTGTGAAGACTGAGGCATGGAACACTCATAAATATGGATCTCAGAAAAAATAATTTTTTGTAGTAAAATTGGCACCTCTTTAGACTCCTTTCCAGCAGGATTTGGGATTATCTGTGCAGAAGAAACAGCTCTCTGTGTGGAAAGACATGCACTACCTTGTCGCTCACCTGATGGGTGTTCCAAACTATTGTGCATCTTTGTTCTTAAGAGTTGACTCACCTTTCTACTTGGTGTCTCAGTTTCCAACATGTATATTAATCTTTTCAGCTACATTTTCTTTAATTATTCTTATAACTTTTTCCTTTAAGGGTTTACACATGGGACATATTCTGATAATTTCCCCTACCCCACACCCCTCCTTCCGTGAAAGAGAGGGACATGTCATGGTTGGTAAAGTGCATGTCTGAAACTTTTTCTTTTGTACAGGGCAACAACAACTGCCTTGGAACTGGGAGATACCCCTGCCCACCTTTGAACTTAATAATGCTTGTTCATGGTTCCTGCCTAAAAGCCAGTAGCCAGTTAAAGAAACACATTTATTTTTCTCTGTCTATGAAGATTTCTTCATCATCTTACAACTTACCTAATTAGAAGGAAAGTCTGTGAAAAATAAAGAGAATCATAAAAATGATGTTGGTCTTTTTTATGGTCTTAAGTTCAATTACATTTTAACTTGGCATTTAAAATATATAATGATCAAAACTATATATTTTTCTTTTGAAATTGTTTTCTTGGAAAAAATAAGAAAAAGGTATGTACATAAGCCTAGAGATTTGATTAGGTTTCCTTATTATTTAAATGACTTTGAATGTCATTATGGCACAAAGTAGGTTTTCTTGAGATTTTGTTAATTTTCAGTGTTTGATGTTAAATTTCCATCACTATTATAAGAAAACAAGTTATTTAGCTTTTCCATTCTATAATTATAGTTAAAATGTTTCATTTTGTGTAGTCTTGGTTTCTCTTCACTGATAATATTATATTGTAAACTTTGTTTAATATTTTTGAAAAAACAGTCACAAATGTACACAGCAACTTTTAAATAAGCAAAGAAAGACACTTTACAAATACTTTTCAGATATATATTTTTGTTTGTAATATATAGTAATTTGTAGTTTTCAAAGAACACACTTAAAGCCCATTTTGTTCTTTTTGGGGTGGAGCTAATATCTTAGGGGTATCTTTGCTATATTTATGCGCAGTCTGCCTCAATGTAAGCATAACCACCAAAAAATTGTTCTTTTGCTTCCAGAGAGGTGAGGCAGAAAGGGTGACAGCAAAAGGGGCACCTGCAGCCCCCTAACCCCAGCAAGGAGTCAGGAACCTTCATCCACTGACGTGTAGGGGGTGCTCACGAAGCTGGCTGTGGTGGAGGTGGACTTGGAGTTCCTGCGGGAGCAGATGCTGGAGCCTGCATCTCTGGTTGTCCCTCTCTTCTTGCGACTGGACCGGGTGCTGTCCCCATCACTGGAGTCAAACACCACACTCATGGACTCCATCCTGGTCACTGTGTATAGGCTGCTCTGTCGTGTTGGGTGGAACCTGGTGACCTTGAGCTCCAGCTCGTCGTAGCTGGAGACATGAATGAAGGGGCACCAGCGGAAGGCCCTTTTGAAGCCAGCACGAAATCTGAGGAGGAAGAGGCCACAGAATGGTCAGGCTACATCTCAAAGACAGTCCTCAGGCACCCTCCAAATCCTACTGAAGGCACATGAGTCAGCTCTACTTAGGAGTTTGACTTCTAGTCAAATTTAGAGTCTGGGCACAGTGTTGGCATTTGGGTTTCTACATTCCTTCCCATCAATGATCAGCAAGTCACTGTCTAGCAAAAACATAGATCAGGTTATTAGTAGGCCAGAAAAGTATACTTTGCTGCTATACTTTTATGGTTGCATTACTGCAATTGAATTACGTTGCTCCCTTAAGACATTTCAAACTGCCTGCCTGTGTATTGAGGTAGCTTCTCCAGAAAGATCACACATTTATAATGAAACATTTATTTAATTTGAGAGTTAATTATTAATCTTAATTTTTTTTAATCTAATCATACATGGAAGTGCAAAATCTTCATCTTGGTAAATCACATGAAGTCAATTAAAAGCAGATGTGCTGCTTGTGGGGCGGCTTAAACTGAGATGCAGTTTGTGCAATTAGTGAGGAAGAGTGAATGCTAATTGGTCTAATTAAGTATTTAACAAACTCCAGGCACAGTGTGGTGCAGCTCCTACTGAGAAGAGCACTTGCACTTAGCCAGTTAGTGAACTTCCAGGAAGAGTTGCTACTCTCCATGCCTAACAAATTCTCTACATTAAAGGAACTATAAAGCATATGAAATCTATGTGTCAAAGACACTAAAGAAGGTTTCTTTTAAAAAAATCATAGGATTGTCCTGCTACAATGTTGTATATGGTTTGATTTCTAAATTTCTGTGTAAAAATGTGTAACTTTTTTCACATTCTCTAGAGATTTAAATTTTTAGAATATCCATGGTTGTTAGAAAATAGCAATTCTATGCCTTATGTCTAAGATGTTTGGTATTCAGACACATAGTGTGATGTTAAGCTCAACTGAGTCTGTTACAGGGTAATAATATTATTAAATTTCTCTTCTGGATGTTTAACAACTAAAGTTTGCTGACCAAAAATTAGAGAAAAAGAGGGTCTACAAGGATAGCCAATATTTTGGCCCTAGCCCTTCAAGGTCAATGAGGACTCAGGACATAAGAGAACCTGTGCTATGACATCCTGTAAATCAGTGGAATCACAAATTTTCTGATCAAGGAGATTATGGGCCACAAAGGAAAATGATCGATGATGTATAGTGTGCCTAAAGAATGTTACCTAGGGAGAAAATATTCTCTCAGGTTTTCACAAAGAGCAAATTGGGCAAGCAATGGCAGTGACTCATCCAGACAGTTGACACTGACAAAAGATCTGTAAGGAGCTGTACATAGTTCCAGGCTAAATTTTGAGGGGATCTGACTGACCTTGACAGACACAAAAGTTACATTTTTGGTTATGTAGATCTTGCTTTAACTTAGTCTTAACCATCCAGTAGAAAAGTATAACAATGAATAGTAAAAGTAATGCTATATTTATATGCTGAGCTATAGAAGCCTCAAGTTCACAACTTCTGACAATTTCCAGTTCTGCTCATAACCCAGTACTATTAGGGACTATTGGGCTATATTGGATTATTTTGCTGAATTCAAGTTCCTACAATCTATAGACTGTCTTCAAGTATGTAAAGGGCTTTCAAAGACTTCACCAAATATAGCTTGTCTAACTGTAGTGGAAACCCATCTCTGACAAAACAAAACACTAAACAGGGACATAAATAAAGGACAGTTTTATAGTGAAAAAATATGTATATACAAGATAGTTAGGATAAATACACAGCTACTTTGTCTTAATTTAGTGAGAAGAAAGGTTTGTACTAATATTATTTAGACAAGATATCATGTCTACATCTTGTCCTCTGAATAACTACTGCGAAGCCAACAATATGCAATGTATTAATTATTGTAATTGTCATAATAACCTGTTTCAAAACTATTTCATTGCTATTTTATCCTTTTTTCTCATTAGAATGAATAAAAGATAAAAATAAAAAATAAGTAAAACAAACAACATACAATATTTTTCCAGAGATAAATTTGAGTATTTATGTCTCTACTTTTTAAAATGATTCACAAACATTTTTTCCTTTTCTTACTGCTGCCTCTCCTATCCTTCTTGTTCTGCAGTGTTAAAGTCTATACAGATTGTCCTTTATAATACACCCCATGTGCACAGGCTGTTGTCTCTACATAATAGAGAAATCACCCATGGAGTTACCTCCCTTTCCTTGTGCTGTTAAATACAGTTTCAGTTCACCACCTTCAATCACAGGGGCACCTTTTCTGTAGCAAGTAAAATTCTGAAGGGTTTGGATTAAGAAGTTTGCTCATAGGGAAATTACTAAACTATATCCTCTAAGAGAACACTATTTTGAATGCAAAATTTCCTTGAAGTAGGAGGAAATCTTAAAAATATTGGACTTCACAGTCCTTTCAGTGGATTTTCACAGTTCTCCATTCTTTCTGTCTTTTAAATTAATATCCCAGAACTGGAATAACAAATGTAACCAGAGAAGGCAGGGGGATGGAGCGTTTCATGGGAAGTCCTGCTTTTACCTTTTATTGAGACAGCAGTAGATAATGGGGTTGTACATGGTGGAGCTCATTGCCAACCAGAAGCTGGCCAAGTAGACCTGCTGGATGTATTTCCACCTGTTCAGTTGCTGATAGATGGCAGTGAGGATGAAGTAAATATGATAGGGCAGCCAGCAGATGGCAAAGGTCACCACGACAATAATCATCATTTTCACAACCTGAAAAGCAAAAAGTCATTTTTGGCAAATTAAAAAATTAATTAGAAAAAGTAATTTCAATAACTTGCTGCAAACCACAATTTTCCACCTAAAATACACAGCATGTCTAAGGAACAATCAATATATTAAAATGATGATGATTATTACTCAAAGGGACACATTATATAGATTGTATAGATGGAAAGTAATTAAGGTGAATTTCCAGAAGGTGTGCTGTTCGATGATTCCATCTCTACCTACCCAGTGAATGAGTGGCATCAAACTAAACATAAGTAAATGTTTTTTAGTTAGTCTGGAGGAAGTGTTTGCAAAAGCCTGTAAATCCATGAGAGATGGAAGCAGGAGCTAGGATTTGGCCATGCTACTTGGACTGTATAAATGGAGGCATAATGTTTATGGAAACCAACTAAGTCACTATGTAGGTACAGTAAGGAGAAAAGGCTGAGCTGTTCTCCATTATTTATTTTAGGCTGATTACAGCTTAAGGCTATTCAGATTTCTTTCATACTGTGTCTTCTAGGCAACCTTCTGAATTCGGTTTCTCTTATATTGGAAAAATTGCTCTAACTACTGATTTGATGAATACTCACAATAATTCAAAGAGCATCCAAGTTGGCAATTGGCTTATATGACTGACTTGTAATTGTCTCTGATGAATTTGTGGAGCATAAGTCGTTTCCTGTGATTCCATAGTATTGTAAAAGGCCATGGTCATGGTTATGTACTTGGAGCTCAATAGATACAGAATGTATGACTGATGAATGGCAATGAAATATTTGTACAAGGGGGTGAGAGGATGTTCTGTGTACCTCTAATCTGTGTCTATATATAAGAAAGTTAGAATCAGAGGTGCTGAGGAAACTGAACAGTATGGTTTCATGTATAATATTTTCTGATTATCTTAATTCATATATCTCACTTTTAGTTTTTATTTATTTTTTATTTTTAAACAATTTTATTGAGAAACAAGTAGCAATGAGACAGTTTCAATACTGATTACTAGCACAGTTTCAATAATTAATACATTGCATATTGTTGTCTTAGTGGTTATTCATTGTACTAGATGCAGACATGATATCCTGCCCATAGACACTATTAGAACAAAGCTGTCTATTCATTGAATTAAGAGAATGCAGCTGTATATCTATCCTAACTATCTTGAATATACAGATACAAAATGGTGGTTCATTTGTATTCCCCCTTTTTTGTTTAGTTTTGTCAGAAAAGAGTATTCATTCCATTGTCATTTAAATATTGTAAGTGTGTGAATTCAGAAAAATATTCAAATATAGTTCAGTGGTCCATAATAGTAGTGGGTTTTCTGTAAGACTGGCAATGTCAGAAGTTGTTGACTTGAGCCTTTTACATCTCAGCATATTAATATGGCTTTACTTTTTATATCTCATTTGTATATTTTTCTGTTGGATGGTTAAGACCAAGATAAAGTAAGACCAATTTCACAAGAAATGTAACTTTTGTGTCTGATAAGTTCAGTTAAATCCCTTCAGGATTTATCCTGCAACCCTGTACCACACTTTGCAGATTGTTTGTCTATGTCAGCCATGTGGTTGAGTCACAGCCATTTCTTGACCAGTTTGTTCTCTGTGAAAGTCTGAGAGTGTTTTCTCTGAATGTGACTCTTCTTAGGCACACTCTATATCATTGATCACTTTCCTCTGTGGCCCCATAATCTCCTTGATTAGAAAATTTGGGACACACCTGAATTACATGATGTTATAGTACAAGTTTTTCTATGTAAGTGATAGTGTTGTTGTGAAAAAAAAAAAGGGAAGGAAAAATATATATGTATACATAAGAGAGTTAGGATAGATATATAGCTAATTTCTCTTAATTCACTGAGAATAAAAGTTTGTACTAATATTGTTTAGACAAGAAAAAAAAAGAAAAGAAAGAAAATGTTACCAGGCTTCAGCTTCCTCAGTGTTTAGAGAGGGGAAGATGAGATGAAGTGGCCCATATACCCAAATACTATCCTGTGATGCTAGACTCTGCCACATTGCTTGGTTCCCACCAGCTGTTTTGGGAAGTTCTCAAAATGGTGGTTCCTATGGTGGGTGAGGATGGAAGCTCTGTGAGCTAGTCTCTCTTTTTAACTCCTATGTGTATGTTTTGTTTGATCTACAAGTGTCTTCTTTCAGTTTGGTTCCTCCCTTTCTTCAAATGACCTATGCTTTTAGTTCATTTTCTCTGAGTCTCTCCAATGTAACTCCTCTGTTCAGCCATCCTGGATCTCCCTTAATTTTGTAAGAAATCTTTTCTGTTATTCTTTTAAAAAATTTAGCTGTGCATCTCATCTTTAATCAGTCTCATAGATTTGACATTATAAAACATGTAGAAGAGAGTATATTAAATAACTTGGAGGCTTATCAGCAGTCAGGTTAATAAAACAGAGGCAGTCCTATGAGGCAGCTTAGAACCAGGAGAATACATTATTTATGAACTGGACTTGTCATTTGACTACAAGTTGTGAATTCTTATAAAAGTTGGCAAGGTTAAGAGTCATAAGAGACATTGTTCTAGAAATAGACAAAGTAGGAAATGGATCATCTCAAAGATAAACACTCCCTTAGGGCCTAACCACTGTACATCCAGGTGACCAGGTTTACCTGCTGGAGAATGGCCAGTGGAGCAGAAAATCCAGGTCAACAGCTCCAAGAATGCCATCATTGGACATCTACGTGAGGGCCTTTGATTTCCTCAGGGTTCATGAAATTGTATTTTTTTTCTGAAGAACAGCATTCATAAATACGTTGCCTCATATTTATTATATTTACATATCTGTGAAATCCGAGTAAGAGCTGTAGTTTAATTCACATTTCTGTTTACCAAGTTACTGTTTCTTAATTGCCCAGGACACACCAACGCAAAGATTTGACCACTGTGAATCAGTGAACTGTGAGGGCCTGTTCAGACTCTTCTTTTTCTCTGTCTCCTCAAAAACATTTTTGATATCAATTTCGTCAAAATTGGAAAATCATAGTTGAAAATATAATAATAGAGGGCAACTGCCTTCCTTTGAAGCTTACAATATAATGACAAAAATGAAAATGTAAAATCTTTGTTAAGAGGCATAGAAATATAGTGAGCACAAAATAGTTCAATACAACTGAAAATAATATTTTGAGGATGTACTTATTTATTATAAAAGGGAATGTCTGTATGATGACTGCTAACTGTAGTCTGCAGTGATATTAGGCTGAATAAAATGCGTACTCATTCTTTTTTTTTTTTTTCCCTGAACCAGGGATTGAACGCAGGCCCTTGCACTTGCCAGGGAAGTGCTTATTCCACTGAGACATCTCCCCAGCCCCTAAATGTTTGCAAGCCATTTGTCTGTCTTTCTTTTTTTTCTTTTTTTTTTTTTTTTTTTTTTGGCAGAACTGGGGATTAAACTCAGGCCCTTGCACGTGCCAGGGAAGCAGCTTATTCCACTGAGCCATTTCACCAGCCCCTATTCATTTTTAAATATAGGAAATATATTTAGAAAAAAAATAGGAAATTATATATGTGATAGGTATATAGGAAATATAAGAATGTAGTAAAAGTATTCATTCCTGAATAGAGGGGCAGTCTACTCTTCCTGGGAAAGCTCCTGGCCAGCTCCACCCTAGCGTGCCCTCTCTGGCTCCTCCCTCTGCCTGGAGTATGCTTCCAGCAATTATTCTCACCAGCTAACTTGCTCATTTTCATGCCATCTTTGCTCAATTGTCATTTATCCCCCTGTGACTCCTACTTTGACTAGCTTATTTAAACATCCATCTGTCCCCTCAGAAACCATTAGTTTGCTCCTTGTTTTCAGTGATTTCTTAAGTTTTACTTTGTTTTTTTCATACCAGAATATAAAAGACATTTCTGCTTGTTTTGACGTATTCTAGTATACAGAATTTCACAATAAAGAGTGATCAGAAAGTTTTTAAAAATGAAGAAAAGTAAATAAAAGTGAAATAACTTGCAAGACACAAAGGTGTTTAAGTTATGCCTAAGATTTTATTTAGTCATTAACTACTGGTATCATTTGTTCTTCATATTTAAATTGGTCATATCTGCTATTTCCCCTTTCTGTTAAATAAATTCAGGAAAACAGAATGAGTGAAAAAATATATAAGCAAATATTGTTTGGGAATAGGAAAACATTTAATTATATTTTAAATAAATGTAAAGAGAAAAGAATCCATGAGAATTGAAGTTGTAGTTTATTTTAATCTTTTTGGTTAAATTGACTGAAATTATCTATCCATTATATAGTTTTCCAACAATAGCGAAATAATAGCTAAGGATACCTGAGCAAAGATGGAAAAAAAAATGAAGAAAAGCATGGATAAAAGCCTGTGCAAAACAGAATAGAGATTTCAGATAACTTCCAATTGACATATACAGGGCCTTTGGGACTTCCTTGCAAAAGATTGAGAAACATATGTGAAAAGGATTTAGGAGGCTCTTATAAACTGAAACAATTGACATGTTTTTTTAAAAAAGTGTGTTTTTTTGTTTTCGAAACCAGGGATTGAACTCAGGGCCTTGCACTTGCCAGGCAAGCGCTTGTTCTACTGAGCTATTTCCTCGGCCCCTAAAAAAGTATTTTTATAAAATGCTGTTTCGTAGCATTATTTTGAATGCTGAACTTTCAGAACTCTAGTTTTGACATAAATCCAAAGACAGACTTGGAAAGAAGAAGTTGTTTTGCCTCATGAAGTACTGAAAATTGTAGTCACTCTCTTCATGAAATGCTAAGGAAAATCACTGTTGCAAGCAAGTATTCTGAGTAATGATAAAGAGAATATGCTTGACATTGCTACTATGTTGCATGGTTAGACTGGCTGTAGCACCAGGACGGGGATCTGCTGGTAGAACCCTGAACCTCTTGAGATTTTGAAGGAGGTGCAAGTCTTGGATGGAGAAGATTCAAACCTTATCACATCTTAACAAATTTTACTGTAACTAGATTTAAAGGTCGATTGATGTCATGCACTTCTTGAAGC